TCCAGTAGCCCGGGTGACAAGGTGCACGCGATACGTTCTCCTCCATTCGACCCGAGGTCCGGCGAGCATGACGACCCCACTTTGGACGCTTTTCCCCGGCCTTCGGCTGCGGGAAAGTTGACGGCGCGACCCGCCGATGCTGCCGTGAAGACGAGGCGCCCGCCGCGGCCGCGCGCGACCATGGTCCGCGCGACGGCCTGCGCGCAGAGGAACGTGCCCGTGGCGTTGACGTCGAGGGTGCGGCGGAAGTCGGCGGCCCCGCGCGTCGAGGGACGGCACGCACGCGACGACGCCGGCCGTGCAGACGAGGGCGTCGATGCCGCCGTCGGGCTGGGCGGCGGAGAAGGCGGCCGTCGCGGCGCCGACGGCGTCTTCGGACGTCACGTCCACTTCGGCCAGGGTGATGGCGGCGTGCGGATGGGCTTGGCGCAGGGACTGCAGGGCGGCGGTCGAGGCTGCGGAGGTCGTGTTGACGTCCCAGAGACAGAGGGCGGCGCAGCCGTGCTGGAGGAGGGCGTGGGCGATGGCTGTGGCGAGGGCGCCGGTGCCGCCGGTGATGATGGCGGCGCGGGGGCTCGCGAAGCGCGTGGCGGCCGTGTCGGCAGGGGTGAGCTCGGCGTCGGTTCCCGGGGTTGGTGTTTGGCTTGGTGAGGCCAGGGTCATCTTGGGGAGAACCCGTGATGTCAAATCTTCTCGAGACATGACTGCGTTGAGGCTCGATGGGTGGAGGTTGTTAGAGGCAATATGATGATGGACAGATGCACGAGGTGAAGTGTTGAGGTTCTGAGTGAGGATACAAAGGCGGGGTTCGAATGCTGATGCGGGGGATCAGCATCTGCAGTGCTCAATCATCAGATGACGGCTATGATACGAACGGATTGGCGCTGATACGGGGTGAGTTTGACGAGGCGGACATCAGATCACGGTTAGCCAGCATCTTGGCAGCCGGTCCCGTCAACACCTTTTTGCCAACATAGAGTCGATCCATTACTTCTATTTCATTACGAACATTGTTCCAATGCTTGATGCATTTTATCTATAACCCAGTCTATCCCAAAATATGCCGCGGCAGTTTACCGCCTGTTAAAGTTCAAGAATCGAGCCTGCAGACACATTAGTATCAAGTTTTACACAGTCTTTCGCGAATGCCACAGAATAGGGGCGCAACTTACACCAAGGAATATAATCACGATGTTGCTCGCAAAGAACGCCAGGAAGATGCCCATGTCCCTCCACCGCTTGTCGAAACCAAATCCGAGTGGCGTGTAGAACTCATCACCAACCTCAAACGCGCAGTACTGACACTCCGATGTCGAGTTGTCGACAATGTAGCCCGCGCCGCCGTTGGCGAAAAAGTCGGACATGTACTCGCCACAGTTTTGGCCGCTGGGCGCATTGAACGGGTTGAGCTCGACGCCCTTGCAAACGACCTCGAGCTCGTGCAGGGCCGTCGTGACCATGCCGCCGATGAGGCGCGTGAAGGGGTCGAGCTGGTACAGCCAGGCGCGCCAGAAGGCGGGCATCTGCGGGGGCGGGACAGCGACACCGCAGAACAGAGCAAAGGTGATCATGATGAAGGGGTCGAACTGCGACGAGATGAAGGCTGAAGGGGTCAGAGACGCGAGCATCTGGCCGAGCGTGACGGAGAAGAGCTCGGTGATGAGGATCATGAGGAACTGGTAGCCGGCACGCGAAGGCTCGACTTGGAATCCGGGCAGGAAGTAGATCAAAACGAAGAAGGCGACGGCGCACATGATGCTGTAGGGCATCTCGGCGAGGACGATGCTCGCGGCGAATGTAGTCGGGTTGTACATCTTGGAGCTGCTCTCACGGAAGAAGATGGCGCGCTTAATGTGATACATGACCTCGACCTGCGAAATGATCAAAGCAGGAAGAACCGTGACCTGGAACATGACGAAGACCTTGTACTGCAGGCTGGAGCGCGAGTTGTCGAGGTCGAGGTACGTCAGACCAGTGAGCAGCGCGACGACAACGTGATTGAAGAGACGGGTGAAGATGTAGTTGGGGCTGCGCCAGAAAGAGAGGTTCATGCGGTGAATGACAATCTTGAGCTGGTGCAGCTGCGGGCTGGCGTACTCCTTCTCGAGGTCAGCGTTATGCTCCCTGGCTGCCGCCTGTCGGGAGCTGCGCATCTGCGAGATGGTGTCCTTGACGTTGGCGAGCTCGGCGCTGTCCTCCCAGATATCGGCCCAGTCGCGAGAGCCAACACGCGGCGCCGAACCGGCACCGATGGCCTCGAGCATGAACTCGGCGACGTTGTCAGTGGGCTTGGCCACGGCACCGTGGCTCTTGAGGTACGAACGAAGGACCTCGGCGTCACGGCCAATGTCGCCAAAGTAGACAGTGCGGCCACCGCGCTGCAGAAGCAGCAAGCGGTCAAAGTTCTCAAAGAGCGCGGCGTTGGGCTGGTGGATGGTGCAGAGAATGGCTTGGCCGGCAGAGGCGAGCTTCTTCAGGAAGCGCACAATGTTGTAGGCGCTCTGCGAGTCAAGGCCCGACGTAGGCTCGTCGAGGAAGAGAAGCAACTCGGGCTTGGCGGCGAGCTCGACACCAATGGTGACGCGCTTGCGCTGCTCGACAGTAAGACCGAACTCGGGGGTACCAATGATGCAGTCAGCGATCGTCTCCATCTCCAGAAGGGCGATGATCTCTTCAACATAGGTGAACCGCTCTTCTTGGGGCGTCTCATAGGGCTGGCGAAGCTGGGCCGAGAACCGAAGGGCCTCACGGACAGTCTGGGACGGGTCGTGAAGATCAAGCTGCTCGGCATACGAGGTGCTGCGCTGGAACTGCTTGCCCGGCTTGGAGCCGTCGACGAGAACGTCCCCGCCAATGACACCGATGTTCTTGCGCGAAGCGAGCACGTCGAGAAGAGTCGTCTTGCCGGCACCAGACGCGCCCATGAGAGCGGTCAGCTGACCGGGCTTGACGTAGCCGAACACGTTGTTCAGAAGTCTCCGGTCGCCACCAGGGACAGGGACATCGTAAGTGAGGTTCTCCCAGGTCAGAATGCTCTCCGACTTGATGGACAGGTCATCAGAACTCTCAGCAGCTCCCTTCTGGCCCTGGCGCTTCGCTTCGCGTTTCGGGGGGAGCCCCTCGTTGAGCGTGGGTGCGCTCCGCATTGGGCTTCTGGTACACCTT